AAAACAGCCTCGGCGTAATATGTTTGCACAAGCGGAGGACACCGCGGCGACACAGCCATGATATCATGAGCGCTTCATAAAATGCATGCTACGTGCTGCACTGTCCGCCGCAGGTCAACGCATCAAAACCCCATGCAAACAAAACATGCTGTTGAGGCATTTATTTATGTCCGGGTGAGGAAATTAGCCAGTTTGTACTGAACTCTCGTGGAAAGAAGAAGCCGCAAAAGAACGGTGAACAAATTGTAACAGAGGCATTCTAGTTTTTCGGTCTACACAGAGGTAAGACCCAAGAAAAGATCTAAAAATGACTTGATGATGTTACGCCTTGTTCGGGTCTCCCTTGAAAAGCATCTTTAATCTCACTTTGCCTGTTCAGGGAGAAGTTCACCCGAAGAATGAGATGACATGAACTTTCCCTCATCCGGCCGGTCAGGTAGACGAGGTGGCCACTGGTGATTGGCATGGCCTCTTGTCCCGCTAGCAGCTAAACGGCCATGTCCATATTCAGCAATGATATTGGCCTCTAACCCCCCAGTTCGGATGTCATTACCATTTTACAGCGTCCGTGCTGGTGCACAACACTATCAATATTAATGTTCTGTGTCTGAGGCGGCTTTGGAAGAACTTTCTCCCACATCAATATTGATGGTATTGCCATACATTGGAGTCAGGGCCCTCTTTAAGGATTTATAAGGGAAATGCTGGTGGAGGGGGGGTGGCCGTCTGTATGCGAATGGGGCCTCTGTCATTTTGGTCTGTAGCCTCAATGATGTACATTTTCCTGACGTTCAGCGCAATTTCCGCGGGAGAGGGGCGACTCCAGACTCACGCCTGATGAGATCTGAGTGGAGCGGGGTGGTGCCGAGACGGATCCAATTCCCCTGCAATGCTTTGCCGGAGATGATAGTTATTGAAAAATGAACGTTTCATTTCAGGGGATCTGGGAATGCTAAATGGGTGTCTGTTGATTCTGGAAAAGGGGGTATTGCTTTTGGGACATCTTCACAAACAGTCCACTCTGGGGCCACACACGCAGACAGGCATCCGATTCATTATGATATTAGCTTTGGAGACGCACTGGTCCATATATCACGTGTCGAGCGTTTTGTCACGCATTCAAATATAAATCATCGGGAGAGGAGAAAAACAAGAGGACATTAATGAAACTCCAAATGAACTTTGGCTCATAAACCATTTGCAAAGCCTACCGTGGTAGTTGAGATTTTCAGCTGCCTTGCATAAGACGTTTGGGGTTGTGGAGGACATGAAATGCTAAAGAAGGAGGGGAAGGAGGTTTTTCTAATGCAGTGACATGGCGGCAAAAGATTTGGAATAGACCCATTATTGATTGCTGTTGAATATCAATCAGACTTGTGAAACACATCTTTGAGCTTCTTACCAAATATGTACGGCAAACCTTCCGCTAACAAGGATCATCATCATTAGAAATGAAAAGCCTTTGTGTACGGCGGGACAAGCAGGAGGAGGTGATGCACATTTTTGGATTGAAATAATATGTTGCTTTAGACGTCCTAGTAACGAAGTAAACAACATATAATAAGGAATAACATAAATAATGACAAAACAAAGATGCAGTTTCTGAAGAGCAAGTCATTGATTCATCTTTAAGCCCCCAGACTGCAGGGGGATTCTGACCCCCCCTCACTCTCACAGATATGCGTTTTTGTTTGTTCAGCCGAGCAGAAAAGACTCTATTGTCAGTCTGTTTAACATTTAGATAGAATTAAGCAACAACATCGGGTTATCGATCCATCAGAGGCCGGCGTCAGTGTCAAGCGTACAGCGTCTCCGAGGGCAACGGAGAGTAAACGTGTAGCGGGACAAAAAGACGAGGGTCTGCGTCACGACTGTCCCCCCCTCCCCCTCCTCCACACCGTCGCTTTCACTCAACGCCCCTCTACACTTTGATGGTGTGCCAGTAAGTGGGACCTCTTTGGGGAGACAAAGAGTGACCTCAATTCAATCTGACATCCCACCTATCGATCTGGGCTGCTGTACCCCCGAGAGAGATGGACGTCGAGCTGCTAACATCCAGGTTGAGCAAAACAGGCGTTTTTATTAGAATCACAGAATCCGTCCACGTGTCTCGCTCCCCGGGACTAAATCTAAATCTAAATCTTCGCTGGGTCCCCTTTTTGCGAAATTGAAAGTGTGTCATAACGTAGTGGAGGCCTCTGGCTTAAATGCATTTGACTGGTGCCGACGCCGTCTCTGTTGAAGGAGCATCTCTTTTATTTTTAACAAGGGGGGGAACTGTGACGTGGACCCGGGACAATGACTGTCAGAGCACACGTGGCTGATTAATCCGCCGCCTTATTGCGTTTGTCATCTCGACCTCTGGCTGGGACCTGATTGGTATGTTCGTCTTCCTACGGACCTGCATGCGTAAATGTGTGTGTCACCGCACGGCGCTGCTACCGAACCGACCCCGGCGTCAAAAAGAGTCATCCGTTTAGAAACAAATGTGGCACCGACGCCTGAACGCTAGCCCACATCGTTTCATTCTATATGGAGCATTCTGGGTCAGAGGTCATTGCTTTTGGCGTTTTTACTTTCACTGGTGCGCGATGACGCTGATCATCACCATATTACTGCGATTTATAACCAAGCATATGTTTCTACTTATTGTGTAGGAGACTCAGAGTCCGTCTGAATACGTTTTAAAAACAATGAGTGGTGAAGGTTGAAGAGTAATTTCATGAGCTTAACATGCGAATTGTCTTAAAGAACGACCTTTGATTGGCCTTCATCCATCCAAGCTTTTCCAACAACGCAAACAATCTAGACCAGACGCACCAAATATCCCATTTAAGTGTAAGAGGTAGTAACATTTGTAATACATGAAAGTAATTAACCACAAAGAAATGACCTGCAATGGTTCTGCAATACCCAGTTCTGATATTTACTGGCGCTGACTTGTATCTTGAAGCAACATATTTTTTGCTTTCATGGTTTATGCTGAGGCCGCTGTTTGCCATAAATGGCAGGTGTGCAAAATTGAAGTGCAAAAGTAATTCAGCTCCTGCCATTCAAAGGAGCTGTGTCAGTTTGATTTACCTGTACACATAAACATGCACGCACACACACACACACACACACACACACACACACACACCTTTGGGGCCACATGTGTTTTTATTCATATGGTGAAGGAAAGAAAAAGAAGTGCGCCTCCAAAATGGAGGTTGAGGGGTCATGGTGTTTGGCCAGGAGTGACAGCTCCGAAATGAAGGCATAAGTCAATCGGCTACTCTTCATACACACACACACACACACACACACACACACACACACACACACACACACTAGGAGGCGGGATGATGGTGGGTGGGTGGAATGGAGGGTGGAGATTGAGGAATTGGGGGAGGTAGTTGGAGGAGGGGAGTGTTGGGAGTAAGGGGCACAAGGTTACCATATGGGGGGAGTGTGTGTGCCTGCATGTGTGTGTGTGTGTGTGTGTGTGTGTGTGTGTGTGTGTTGAGAGGAAGGTAACATTACATTGTGTTTAAGCTCAAACATGTACTTGTCCATGTTCATGTCTCTCTTTTTGGACTGTCTGACTGTTATAACAGAGCTACCAGCAGCTACATTTACACAAACTTTAACACAATACACACACACACACACACACACACACACACCTTGAACCCAAAGGTCAAAGACCATGTGTGTTCTTTCTCTCTCTGTGTCTCCCCCACACACACATGCCGGGCCGTGTTGTTTGCCTACTTTCTGTCACGCACCAAGCCGGCCTGTATCCACATTTGGGTTGCATCCCAGCAGGAGTGCGGGGCGACCCCCACTTGGTATTCAAAATCATTGATTGATCAATGGATCGGCACATGTGCCTTTTTTCTCCCCAGTGAATCAAAGATCTCTTTGGACAAAGAAATACCTGCGAGCGGAGCAGCGGAATGATTCATGCTCGGCGGTCCGCGCGTTATTGGCATCGGTAAATTAAATCAGTACAACGCTACTGTGGATAGATGGGAAAATGTGATTTAAAAGATTACACAAGACAGTTTTGACTCCAGATGAAACTGAAAAGGAACAACGACACCACACACAAGTGGCCAAGACTTCTTTAGTATATTTAACTTAATGCGTAAAGTAAAAAAATACTCAAATCAAACCACACAAAGTATTAGAATCAAAATATAATTTTAAATACTGAGGTAAGAGGAACGATGATGCAGAACGGCCCTTTTTTAGAATCACGTGTTACACATTTATTAGATGTAGTGAACGAATGTGTGTGTTGAAGGCCAAAGACGGTTACGAGGTTTGTTGATCTGCTCACCTGCTGCAGGAAAATGTCTCTGCTCCTTCATTCACTCAGAACATTTTAAGTGAAGAAAACAATCCAGCTCCACGAGCCTGTTGGCTCATGCACCATCTTAGGTGTGATTGATTTGGGTGACTTAAGGTGCCTGAAATAAACTCACTGCCATTATTCTCACTACAAAGCAAATTAAACGTTGTTTAAATAGCCCGTGTGCACAGAAGGATGTGTGTGAAACTTTGCATATTGTGATAGTTAATTTTATTGTAATGAAAATATTTGTATTTTAGGTATTTTGGTTACAGTAACAAGGTGCAAACCAACAACTTAGATTTAATTGTGCGAGCCTTTGTTATAAAATGACAAGTAAATGAACCCTGTAGCTCTTCTTTTTTTTTAAACCTTTGTATTGGTTGGTAACACTCAACACGCATCCTGTAGTTCTTCGTAACCACGTCACCTGACTCACAGTTGGAGAACTTCACCCGGTTAATTGGTGTATGAAACTTTTGAAATATCAGTAGGCGAATTTAAAAGATCAGGAAATCTATGAAGTCAAAAACGTGTGCAGAAAACCTCTGTGTTGAAGATACAACTTCCAAGAAGTGTTTCATCAACAGACATAGAATCACAGAACAGACCTGAAGGGATTTTGGGTCGTAAATATAAATGAGGGTAAAATACGGCACAAAACTTGCTGTGAACAACAGAATTTTATTTCAATTAAGGGATAGTCCATATTTCCAAACAAAAGAAGAGGGGATAAACACAAACTCATAGGAGCTTTCTGTGAATTCATCATCAACAGACAGCTTTCCAAGGTCCCGGATGGCTTTTTCAATGCTAATGTTTACACCACAGTGCCATGCTGGAAATGTGAGACAAGTTGTCAAAACAAACTTCCACCAAGGGGAAGAACAAAACAAGAAAAACAACTTAAAATAGTCCTAAACTAAGTCACAGTCATAAGTCCAACGGGGATCGTATTGTAACATAGACTGAGGTTTTCAGAGGTTAGTGACACTTTTCGCTAGGATATCGGTACGATTCGCTCATGACGAGAGTCGAGGGGGTTTTCGCTACGTGACGATATCACCAGGAAAGTGGAAAAGAACTCGCCTGACGTCTAAATAAAAATGAAAGTGCTGATGATGTCCAAGCAGAAATATCCGTTCTCTCTACTGATGCATAAAAATAAAATCACCATAGTTTGCATTGATTTTCTACGACTTTATGTTGACATGTTTACATTGTGTGAGTTCCTTTCCTCTCCTGACAGGACATAATACCTGTTATAACAGGAAACGAGAGATTATGGCACAGTCATAAGATAAATGCTCAGTGACAAAATCTTTGTTCTAAGGCAAGTACAGCTAGTTTCGTAAAATGCTCCCTCCCTCCCCCCCCGGCCCGGTTCATGAAGGTCCATCGTTGACAATAAAACACTCCTGTGATGACACCAAGTAAGAAGTTTCAATGGGCCTTTTGAATAAGTGACAAGGTCGATGGAACCTACCAGTGCTGGGAGTTTCCAGGAGTCATAAGTGTCGGTTCGGACTGGTTTACAATGCAAGTGCCTAGGCTGTTATCTATTTTGTCTCTCTGCCCCCTGAGATCCAAACAGAACAGTATATAGTCAAATAATAGTCACAGAATCGTTGTCACCAAAACTACCACGAAGATATTCAAACAATATGCATTTCTCAGCTTTGGCACAGGCTGCTGATAACTGTAAATTTCTACTGTTATTTTGCTCTTGTACTGTGTTGGCGTGTCTGTCTGGCTAACTCACCCTTTGGACCTGAGCTTTTCCCATTGAACCCTAATATGCTATAGATGCCTATGAATCAACAATATACTGTACATATGGACACAATCATGAGTTCTCTCTCCATATAAACAGTGCCAATACAAACACACGCACGGTAAAACATATCCTCTGCAAAAGTCCGAGACATTTTGGCATTTGTCTTCTTTTAATGGCTTCTGGCTTTCTGTTTTAAAAAAAATGGTATATTACACAGCGGACCTTGTGCTCGTGGTTTTTAGAGTCCCATTGGCGAAGCCCTTTGCTCAGTACTGTGCATACTGAGATGCACGTACACGGCCTCCGTAAATGCAGGCTAGCACCAACGATGAACCACCGGTTTTGTCTTTAACTGCCCCTGTAGGGGGACAGGACTGGGGGGGGGTTGTTCGAGACTGAAATCTGAAGTGAGTCCAACAGACCTGCTGGTGAACTGCGCAATGACCCGTTCTACCAACTCGTCCATCTCGCGCTCACGTCTCAAGTCGGCTGGCTCGTGTAACCGGGGCGGTAATGCATTACGTTGTCAGTTGGGTTTTTGAGCAGGATGGTGAGGGGAGGGGGGGCAGGCAGGTGGAGGGGGGGGGGGGGGGGTTTGGAGGATGGATCGGTGGAAGATGGACGTTGCAGCCCCCGCATTTCCTTCCCACAGCTCCTCCACCTCAGGGCCCGTTCTCGTTGTAGTGGAGGGAGATGGGGCGGTCGCGCTGCACGGCGGGCATGTAGGGCCAGTTGTAGCTGGAGCCCGAGAGCAGCATGTCGCGGAGCAGCGTCTCGATGGGCGTCTTGCCCACCAGGCGGACGAAAAACAGCTGCTCGATGACCGGAGAGGAGACGATGCGCAGGGAGGGCAGGCGCAGGAGGAGGCGTCCGAAGCGGTTGGGCTGGCTCGGGTACTGGTTCCTTACATACTCCTCCAGGGCGCACTGGGACTTCTCCTGGATGCTCTCCACGTGGGCCACGTCTGAGAGCCCCATCGCGTCTACGGGGGCAGGAAGAGATATTGTGTTAGGTTTGTCAAACTGATTCCTCGGAGCATCCGAAAGCACCGTGCCAGAAGGCACGACATATTAGTAATGCAACGTCTCTTTTGTTCCCTCAATGACCTTTTATCAAATCAACGTTGTGTTCTCGGGTTTTGCATAAATTGTTGTCTGTGATAATTGGCTCAACGAGAGTTCTTGACCTGATACTGTACTGGAAATGTCACCCAGATGGTTGAAGCAGATAAACGTTGAAACAAGAGGAGTAATTCAATGTTCTCAAAATGCGGAGCTTTTTTTTTTTTTTCTATCTTTCCAAAGTCCTCAAGTCAGAGGAATGTCGCTCAAACGAGGTTTGTCACTGCAGAGATGCTTATCTACTACTGTGGTCTGTGTTCACGGCGAACTACAGCGCCCCCCTTCCGAGCGGCCGCGGGTCGTGTTCTGGCTCCCTCCTCCTCCTCCTCACAACCCCCCCCCCACGCCCACCACGCCCTCGGCGAGGGTCTCGGCACAGCCAGTAAGAGCGCGTAACCGCTGCGTGCGATACTTTTCCCGCCCTCTGTGTGCAGGGGAGGGGGGGGGGGGGGGGGGATTTATCCATGTGTGAACTTAAACAGAGACACATCCACGTACGGGGGCCACACACTGTACATTTAGTGGGAGTGTTCTTTGCCCCCTGGATGAACCCTCGTTTTGGAAGGCAGGTTCTTTTGGTCTGAATAAGCCGTCCTCTGGGTTTTAACCTGTCGCCTTGCGTTGTTCCCCCTCGTTTTACACTTTGTAAATCTGTCCCCTGTTCTCGACACAACAAAAATGTGATTTCCGTCATATTTTAACCACGTGCGGTTCTCATCATTCCGAGTGAATAATTGCTCCCACTTCAGCTGCATTTCCCTTCCACTCAGGCGGCAGCTGGACCCGCTTCCCTTCTTCTCCCGGGCCGCCATTTTGGTAGCTGCGTGACAAGGCAGTCCCTGCTTGGGTGGGATTAGTGAAGCCGTCTGTGGGACTGAAACCGCATCGCGTGCCGAGGCGAAAGCCCCGTGGGCGCCCTTACGCGCCGAGCGGCGAGCTCTTTTGTCTGATCCTCGGGCGCACACCGGGTCAGCGGGGGTGAAGGATCAGGGTGGCAGCGCCGAGATGCCCGTTCTCTGATGTGGCTTGATGGGACCGGGCTCCACAGGGCGGAGCGGAGGGGAGGAGGGGGGGGGGTTAAAGACGATTGGTGTTTGTCCGAGCTTGTTAGCTCATCCTACCAAGTCTGCAGGAATCAGGTTTATTAACGGGTCCATCCAGCGTGCGCGCGTGAGCACGTCCGGCCGCATTAAATTCAAATGTCTGTGTCAGTTTCTGCACGTTTCACTAAATGCATTGTCTTCTTTTGGCAAGACATGTGCTGCTTTCTGCAACGTGTAGACATGTGGGTACATCTGCCCCGCATGAAGTCACATGGGAGGCTCAGGGCTACAGGGGTTATGTAGGTCACGGCCGGGGCTGTTGCAAATTCTCTGTCTCTCTGAAACCCACCATACATAATTCAATTCCCGTGTGGGGGTGGAGGGGGGGGGGGTGGATGGGGGGTCCCGGGCTGGGTTGGGCTGGGGGAGCATAAAGGGAGGAGGGGTGGATAACTGGTTTCAATAATGGATGGGATCAAAGAGGAGAAATGGCTGATGAGAGGGTGGTGTGTGTGTGTGTGTGTGTGTGTGTGTGTGTGTGTGTGGGGGGGTGGAGATCTCCAGACACATAAAAACAGAAGAGAAGCGGCAGGTACACGCAGAGCCAATCTGACACGCCATGCAAGGAAGCAGAGTGGGGAAATGCAATAAATAAAAATAAATAAATAACAGGGAGGAGACGCATCCCGGCGTTGGCTTCTTCCTCGCCACGCGCTTCCCCCTGGGTCACAGCGCATGATCTCTCCGTGGAGTATCCCAGATGTGACAGCATTTAGGCCAGCGCTGGAGCCCAGTGACTGTCTGGATAAACCTCAACAGGGTTTGTATACAAGAAGTATCAAAACAACGCCTTTCCTCAAGATGTAACACCATTATATTTTGATTTAATCGGGATTGCGGCTCAGTGGGGAGAACATGAAGCGACACAGCGAGGAGGGCGTGAAGTCCTGGTTTGTTTGGATGAACGGCTATAAATAGCCCAATACGTTCATGCATTAAGGATGCTTCCTTTACTCGGTATATCCAAAAGGAGGGTTATTTATCATTATTTATTTATCTTTATTTTGAAAAAAAGGCAATGATTTTACAAGAAAGCAATATTAACAGGCTGTAGCTTTTTAGCTAGTAGTAAACATCTGGTTGGTGGGTTCAGATCATGTGTGTATATACAGTATATACATATATTTTTTATATTTTTCTTGGTGCAATTCCATAAAACAGCAATTGAATATTTGTCTAAAAGTCTTTCCAAAGAAAAGTGAACTGTTTTAGATGGACCTCAATCTAAATACAACTTGTATTGGAGAAATACCGATGTCAAAGATTCAGGTAAAATCTGAAGGAAGCGATGTGATGTGATTGAGCTCCCACGCACCTACTCGCGGGGAGAATAGAGGTCTTTTACAGTATTACAGAGCGATCAAATTACAGTGAAATTCATGGAGGGTAGAGACCATGACTGACTAGTGGGAGGACTGTAGCAGAAGCATTTGCATACGCAGCCAACGAGCCAATATGTGCTGCAGCGTTAGAGGTCGCGTCTCGGTCAGCCCCGGCGGAGGTGCAAAGGTTGAGAGTCGAGCCTCACGAGTCTCTCTGCCAGCTCAAAATGGATTTCAGCACAGCGGAGACTGAGAACTTCTCATTTTTAAGAAGGTTAAATAGGCTTCGCTCCAAAATTCACATTCCTGGACAGGAGTTTGGTTCTCTCTTGCTGCCCTCATAACGAACAAAAGTAATTCTTTAAGCATCGCTTCATGTTTAATGAACATTTCTGATAGTCAGCCATCTTTTTTGGACATAACGGGTAACATGGTTTCTTCTATGTGGAGCTTTCGGTCTTGTAGATATGAAACTGTTCATTAAGTATTCTCACAGATGGATTAAAGGCTTTCCATCAAAGCCTTCCGCTTTGACCATTTGCAGTGGAAGAGATGTTTGCATCTTTTTCTTTCATACTGTGCAACAGTGCACGAGCATAGAATGACAGCAGGATGATTGTCTCACACGTGTGAAGCATTTCGCTGGATATTCACACAACTTCCTACACATTGACATCTTGTAATTATTTTAGTTTTTTGTGCAGAAGAGATGATTATTAAAATATTGATTACTGCTCTGATGGCATCCAGCTCAGACTTCATATGGCAGAGATTAACAGTTCCCTTTTAATTTCTACACAAGACATATATTCACTTCAATTCAATCCCAATTTTATTATGTGTTGAATCTGACTCCATGTTTAAATGCAAAGAACAACACTCCTATTGGCCGTTTCTTCAATTCAGGTTAAGCCGTTGACATGCGCTTTGATACCCTGCGATTAAGCGTCCCTGTTGACATAAATAAACCAATTAAGAGAACGTTCTCGTGCCAACAGAAGCAAGCGCACGCTCCTAATTCCTCCCGTTCTGCCGCAGCAATAGTGACGTTACTCGCAGGACAGAGGAGACGTGTTTGTTGACATCGGAATCTACTCATAATCATAAGCGGTTTTCTTTGTCTTTTCGATGTGCAAGTTTCGTCTGGTTTTCTTTCAGAGCTCAGAGAACGAAATAAAAAGAACCGCCAATCAAGACCGAGACAAAACGCAGGATTCCTTCAGGATTTAATATTGTAGCGACACATTTGACATTTTTGGGCCATGGATATCCAATTATTCATAAACCTTCGAGTCGATAAGTCTGGAGCGATCCCCTACTTAAATGTTTTAACGTTACGCGACACCAGCGACATTTAACGCATTTCTCAACTGTTCATAAGACATTCAAACTCACCAGACGTGAAGAGCACGATGGACTTGAGGCAGGAATACTCTGCCGTGTCCACCTGCAGGGCCTTCAGCTTCTCCACCTGCTCCTGGAAGACACGGATGTGGTCCATGAAGGCCACGACGCGCTCCGCTGACATGGGCGACGCGTGCAGGCCTGCGGCCGCCAACAGGGGCGCCACGTGCAGCGGCATGGAGCACTGGGCGGCGTTGAGGACGAAGAGCTCGCTCCACGACATGCGCAACAACGCCACCTGGAAAAACAGATTCCTTCACTCAGCGGGACGTCTTAAAAAACGATAACAACACGCATCATGTGGTCTTCTATTTAAAAGTTCTTTTGCTACAAATGTCACCGCGTGTTTGAGAAGGTTTTCGCACGCAGCTCATTTCCATCAAGCATGAAAATTCATTCTTAGTGTCACAGGATGCAAAAAACATCCATAATCCAAACCACCTTTGAAGATTTGGTCACATTACAAGAGACATGATGCAGGACAGGAGAATCATTCATGCACATTTTCCCCCCAACAAGTAATATATTCATTCATTGAAGCAAGAAGGGAGCGCGCACAAACCAAGTTGATGGCATAAAGCTCACAAAGGGCATCTTTTATAAACAAATTAATGTTTAAATAACACGTTTGAGGTAATTTTGAAAAGGTCATACATATTAGAAGAGGATACGAGAAGCACAAATAGGAGAAATGTGCTTTTAATATCAAATAAGCCAACATTATGGTTTTAATATATGGTTTTGGGATGATCACAGCAGAAACGGAGATATTATTTAAAAAGAAAAATCATGACTTTGGCTCCGTGGATGTGTACACTCGGCCTGCAATGGGAATCCACATATATGACTCCCTTTTGATGCTGCACCTACAATAATAGTTGTTCTTAAGTTCTTTTTATAGGTGTATTATTTTCCCTAGTAGGTGGACACAGTTTAAAACGCGTCGAGTATTTTGACGGCAGGTTGGTAAAAATTCATCGAACTGGTTTCATAGAAAGCGCGAAACTGGTGGCACATTTCTAGCGCAGTGACTGAGAGACGGGACATCGTGACATGACGTTAATGGCATATTGATGACACGGCGGAGCTGCAGCATGACATATCTGATAAAAGTCGGCCCAAGGTGCATGTGAATATTTATAGGTATGCGTGCCAAGACTTTACAGCTGTTATAAATCTACATGTGCAGCGCTGACATTGGGTTTGCTCCCGTCACTGAATAGAAACACGACAGATTTCCTTTTATATGCGACTGAGTGATGGTGATTTTCAAGTAATGAAAAGACAAAGATTCAGATGCTTCGTTTCTCTTTTGTCATTTTTAAAGCGTAATCAGAGGGCCGTGTGTCAAATAGAAATTAAATGAATTACGCTGGGATCTTTTATTGGATAACAGCGGCCTTTTGGTTTGGATTAAGTTGAAAGGGAGAATTGTTTTTTTTTTTTACTGGCTTTACATAAAAAAAAAAAGAATGATGTGAAATTGCTTTATTTCCTATGTACTATAAGTTACATTGACATGTTAATGCATGTTAATCCAAAAGCCCTTATGCATGTTCCCTTTGCACGCTTTATTGAAGGACAGACGTGACATGAAATACACGTATTACTTTTAGAGGTTATTATGAGGACCACACTCATTTACACTAAATATCACTCTTATATCGCCACTTAGCATTAGTTTCATATTTCGGGTATACAAAATGGTATTTTTATTATCTAACTATCTGTATGACTTGAATTCCAGTATTTATGCCAAGCATAAGATGTCAGTTACTAGGCTTTAAAACTGGTGATTTTGTTGGTTGTTTGGCACGGCCAGCTGGTCCCGTCTGTTTCCTGTATTCATGCTAATGGATGCTAATCAGCTGCTGGCCGTTGCTTTGGATCTCCTGCACAGACACAACAGTTGTTTCCGTCTTCTTATCCAACCCTCGGCCAGAAAGGGATTATCCCCAAAACCAAAAGGTCAAACCAGAGAGTTGGATGCTCCAAAGTGGCAGTCTCACCTGGTCCATCAGCTGCAGATCAGGGAAAAAGGGGATGTTCTTGGCCCACTCGACAGCGCTGAAGAGCAGCCGGGCCGCCAGCTCGCAGATGTTCTCAATGCCCATCAGGTTGTTTCCCTGCATGCACTGGGCCCCGTAGCGAGACGTGGGGTAGGGCTCGGCGCGCAGCAACAGAGAGATGAAGCCGGACAGGTAGGGCTGGCCGTTGTACGGGTCGGTGCCGTTGGTCAGGTACTGTCCCGGGCTGGTCTGGGAGTTCGACGTGCGTCCTCGCTGCACAGCTGATGGGAAGCAAAACAGGCGACGGTGACAATTTGCCCGCCGTAATCTGAACTTTTAACCGTGAGTGTGTGAGACTGGTGCAGTTGTTCGGTTTCTCGTCATGCGCAGGTCTACGTCTCAGTCTGCCTGAAAAGCACCCGCTTTTATTTCTGAGCTTTAACAGAGAGAAACATCCAAACGGACCCGCAGGTAGAACCATGTGGAACCAAAAGGCCTGCAGCCGAAAAACCAAAAGGGCAAGGAGACGAAGGCGGCGGATAAAGAGTGAAATTGGCCATTACAAATGCGGCGGGTAGAACGGGGTCAACGGGGCAAAGCGTGTGGAGACTAAACACGTCAGCGCCGGTGTTTTCCGCGGAGTGGTGCAAAACGCGCTGGGCCTCAAAGAGCAACGACAAGAGATAGACACGCCATTTCTTCACGCCTACACATCCACCCATGAACACATGCACGCATGACATAAGAACACAGTAACATGCGCCCCCCCCCCACCCACGAACGTCCTACTGGCAAATGGCTCCGCCTGAGGAGAAAATGGCACGCAGAAGCCAAGACCCCCCCCCCGCCGATGATGATGAGGCGAGTGCTCAAAAGGCCCAGTTGGAAAACACCCGTTTGGTCCCCACAGTCTGACTTATAACTCAGGGGGGAGAGGGACGGGTGGGGGAGGGGGCAAATGACAACGCAGGAGGGAAGAATCAGGTAAAAGGGTGAAATGGCGAGATAAGGTGGAGGGGGAGGGATCAAGAGGTGATAAGTTGAGATGGGGGAGATTAAGGGCAGGGGGAGAGGAGGTGCAGGGTTCAGTGAATTTGAATGCGGTCTGAGATGATAGAGAGCGGCGGTTTGCAGGAGGAGACAGGTGGCAGCAGAGAGGCCTGAAATTAAAAAAAAAAGGGGAGGAGGCGGGTTTGGACAAAATGCTTTTTCCAACTCTGCATCACCTGGCACACCAGCAGCTGCGTCAACGCAACGCCAGAGGTCAAGTCACTCACGGCCGTTATAAAAATGCCTTCAGTTCTAGCTCGTCCTCTGCGGCGGACGGAAAATAAAAGCTCTCGGCACAAAAGGCGTTGACCTCAAAGTACCAGTTTCTTCCCCCTTTTTGTGAACTTGTGTGAACCCGCGCGCTACGCGGGAGAAGAATGCGGCCTCCTCCTCGTCGCTCGCGCAGCGGCGGCGGCGGTCACTGCAAACCGTAGAAAACGGAACACTGTAGTAGCCTCGGTGCAATTTCCACAAAGATTACCTGGTGAAATGTGTTTTGAGTCCCTTTGAGCGCGAAGTGAGAGCGAGCCAGAGCCGCTCAACCGGCAGCCCAGATTAGACATCAAACTACTGGTTTATAGCTGCTCTGTAGAAACACATTCAATCAATTTATGCATGACAGGACGATCATGGTCAGGGTCGAGGCACTGAAAGACTTCGGTTTGGGTTGACGAATAATTGTGGTTTGTTGCTTAGTGATTAGATAGCGTGAGGTGACCTTTGTTGTCATGTTACAGTAATAAACATGCGGTTAAAGCTCGGGGACGACACAAGTCTCGAGTGTTAAAAGGAAAACGGAAAACGAGTTCCGTGTTTTTGTGGAGTCCTTGCCCTCGCCCCCCCCCCCCCGCGTGGACATCGGCGCTCTACAATAACACCCCCCCCCCCCGACTTCCTCTTTCGCTCGCCAGGGAGCAACAGTCATCACATCTGAGGCTGCTGGCTTGAACTTCAGCATGTTGTCACTTTAGGGCACGATGTGAAAAGGGACGACTCTGTCGTGCTCTCTGGGAGGATACAGTCACCGGACAAAACGCCCGCCCCCCCCCCGACTGTGTCAGAGCGCGTCCATAACCTAAAACTGTCACTCTGCCCCGGCTTGTTAACGTCATCTCAGGGAAGAAAAAGGAGAAACAAAACACTATAGGGGGTAAACAACCCACTCACAAACATATTGTCCTCAACTTTTCACGGGAAAAACATCGAAACGCCACGAACCTATCGGCCCCCTGCTGCCGGTCGCGTCGCCGATATGTGAATCCGCGGCTATTAATCTGCTCGCAAGTTGATTAGTGGTTAATCCGGCGGACGGAGGCGAACAAACTTGATCCACTTGACTTTTCAAAAGCCTCATTGTGTGTGTGTGTGTGTGTGTGTGTGTCGGACGGGGGGTGACTTGTGGCTGAGAGGCAGCGCACTTGAGGACTTCTGACTGAGACACGTCGCTCTCTGTTTTGTTGCGCGCCTACAGCTGGCTGGACGAGAGAGAGAGAGAGAGAGAGAGAGAGAGAGGAAAGGGGACGAGGGGTCATTATGGAAGAGTCCTAGAGAGTGGAGAGGAAGACAGACGTGCAGAGACAGAGACGTAGTATCTTGACCTGAAGGGCAGCGAGAGACAGAGATGACATTAGAGAGAAACAGATGCCTGAGGATAAGTAAAAAAAAAAAAAAAAAAAGAAGAGGAAAGCCGGGTCAGAGAGAGAGAATAACATGGGGGAGGGTGGGGGGAGTATAAAGTCAGATTTGTGCGTCTGCCAGAAGCGGTATTCTGTTTTTTTTAATTGGTGGCTCAGCTAAATGCATTTGACCGAGCTCGTCAGACAGGACGTCCTTCTTCCTGGCGAAGCAAATTATTCCAATACTAAACTAAGGGCAGAATTTTTAAAAAAGGCGTTAAAAACCCGCCAAAAACCAAACAGCAGCCACAGTACGAAGGTAACGGGGCGGAATGAGGGCGAGGAGGAAAGTGCACGCAAACAGAGGTTCCATGGGACATTTCAGCGGCGACTTTTAAAACGCCACTTCAGCAAATGGCAGCTGGCAGAGTGCAGGGTTCGCTGCCGGGCCGCCCTGGATTAGCCGCTGGGTCAGACTGTTAGAGGAATTACAGCAGCTAAATACAATTAAGGCCCGTCAACATTTGGACTTAAAGGTCACGGTGCCGGAGCCACACGGACGCATTATAGATTTGGCTCGTTTAATAAGTAGATTTTTCCCATTTCTAAAGTCTGTGTTGGCCGGCGAGCAAAAGAGAAACACATTTCCCTGCATGAAGTCTCTCCACGTGACTGAGCGCGCGTTTGTTCCCGAGGGAGATTCACAACATTAGAAAATATTGCAACCATCAAAACACAAAGGCTGAAGCCTGTGTACACGGCGGTGATCCAGCCCAGAGGAAAGTGTGTGTGTGTGTGTGTGTGTGTTTGTGTGTTGCGACATCGGGGTGACATCCCCCAGGATCTCCTGAACTTCACTGGCTTGCTTTTAAAGATACTTTACTTTCTACTTAATTCATTGAAAGTGATGTAATACTGTAGCTGCTCCATGGTCCACTGCATTTGTCCCACTGTGTGCTATTGTGCAAGAACAAGCGCATTCTAAAAAACCTCAGTACACAACCTGCTCAGCACAAGTCTGCAGCAGTTAAAGGGACGGAGATTACCTGTAAATGTGGTGTGTTAAGAAGAAAATGTTCTCTAACAAGTTTGCATTATCAACCTTTTGAGCGGTAATATGTCAGTTGTGTTTGCAGCTCTTTCCTGCTGCCCCCTGGTGGTGATTAAATACAGTAACGGAGGGTTGAGGCTTTCGCAACTAGTTTGTAATATAAAAGTAGGTGAAAGAAAACGTGCGTTTACGTTGTACCACAGTGCAGATGAGACAGCTGAAAAGTCTTACGTTACATCTCACTAAAAGGGAGGAAAAAAAGGTAATTAGTTTGTATATTAAAGTGTGGCTGTGAGCCGGCAAGTGCACAGATGGGCCCCTAGTGGTGCTCAAGCACCTTGAGGAGAAAAGTGGCCCTTCTGCGCTCACAAGCCCCGCCCCTTCCTCCTCGTCCTCTTGGTGCTTGTGCACTGCTGAGCGTCAAACGGCTGCAGCATCGAACAAACTGGTGATGACGGTGTTTGTGCAATGCTCCGACGCTGTTCTGATAAATTAACAACATTAGGGCCGCTGAAAACATGGCGTTGCAAAAATTATTGAAAAAAACAAAATGAAAGAGCTACATGACAGTGGTGAGGTATATTGTGGTATATTATTAGCGTAATCCGGCTTATGCTTAAACTCTGTCAGAAAATAGTTTTAATGTGTGTGTGTGTGTTGTCAGCTTTATAGATATTATGCAAGACACTCTTTATTATGCACAACATTGATTTATCTCATTCAACAATATGCAGCCTAATGTCAAGAGAAGTTAGACTCCCAAAGCAGAAGGACAGGGCTGCTTAGACAGAGCGACTTAGTTGACATTTCAGTTTTTAGCTCGGTGGCTCAAACAAAGAGCGGTTCCAGCCAACGCGAGCAATGCACGCTTTTTAGCTAAGAGGACACCTCGGGTGGACGTCATGAGCGACGTGAATGAATGAGATGGTGAGAGATCTTGCAAGGAGACCGGAGATGTTTTCAGCCGCACAAATTATTGCCGATCTAGCTAATCGTAACCAAACTTGGTGTTAGGCTAACAAACGTGCGATTTGTCTGTTGCATAGCACACGTACGGGGACTAATTTCTCTAGGCTACTGAAATGTGCCGTATAAAAGGCTATTAACTTAGTATTTATAATGTCGCTGGTAACCGGATTATAAAAACAATTTTTTTTAAAAAGGTACTTGAGGCAGCAATCCTCAATAATGAGGCGGTATTTTATCATTAATAATGTTACTGTACCAGTACTGCCTCAAGTACTTTATTGCTTATGTACAATATGGCCTTGTTTTGTTATTTATTATTAATTAATTTCAGGAATAGTTTTGGTTTGAGCACCTGAGCCCCCCCCCCCCCCCCCCCCCTTTTTTTTGGGGGTGGTGTGTATATATAAAACAAAGGGGGGGGGTTTTTTCTCAGCTTTGTTTCGAGGCACGAAACCGCAGAAAAGCTTGCGGTGAAACGCCAAAATTTCATCGGGAGCGAGAGCGCAGAAGCACCGGAGGCGGCGCGAGGAGAGGAGCCGGTGACACAGACGGGGAGCGACAGCGGCGCGCGCGCCACGCGAGCTGTGCGTGACCG